AGAATTGTTACTCAGGGACACAGAATTGTTACTCAGGGACACAGAATTGTTACTCAGGGACAGAATCACAGAATTTACTCAGGGACACAGAATTGTTACTCAGGGACACAGAATTGTTACTCAGGGACACAGAATTGTTACTCAGGGACACAGAATTGTTACTCAGGGACACAGAATTGTTACTCAGGGACACAGAATTGTTACTCAGGGACACAGAATTGTTACTCAGGGACACAGAATTGTTACTCAGGGACACAGAATTGTTACTCAGGGACACAGAATTGTTACTCAGGGACACAGAATTGTTACTCAGGGACACAGAATTGTTACTGAGGGACACAGAATTGTTACTCAGGGACACAGAATTGTTACTCAGGGACACAGAATTGTTACTCAGGGACACAGAATTGTTACTCAGGGACACAGAATTGTTACTCAGGGACACAGAATTGTTACTCAGGGACACAGAATTGTTACTCAGGGACAGACACAGAATTGTTACTCAGGGACACAGAATTGTTACTCAGGGACACAGAATTGTTACTCAGGGACACAGAATTGTTACTCAGGGACACAGAATTGTTACTCAGGGACACAGAATTGTTACTCAGGGACACACAGAATTGTTACTCAGGGACACAGAATTGTTACTCAGGGACACAGAATTGTTACTCAGGGACACAGAATTGTTACTCAGGGACACAGAATCGTTACTCAGGGACACAGAATTGTTACTCAGGGACACAGAATTGTTACTCAGGGACACAGAATTGTTACTGAGGGACACAGAATCGTTACTCAGGGACACAGAATTGTTACTCAGGGACACAGAATTGTTACTCAGGGACACAGAATTGTTACTCAGGGACACAGAATTGTTACTCAGGGACACAGAATTGTTACTCAGGGACACACAGAATTGTTACTCAGGGACACAGAATTGTTACTCAGGGACACAGAATTGTTACTCAGGACACACAGAATCGTTACTCAGGGACACAGAATTGTTACTCAGGGACACAGAATTGTTACTCAGGGACACAGAATTGTTACTCAGGGACACAGAATTGTTACTCAGGGACACAGAATTGTTACTCAGGGACACAGAATTGTTACTCAGGACAGACACACAGAATTGTTACTCAGGGACACAGAATTGTTACTCAGGGACACACAGAATTGTTACTCAGGGACACAGAATCGTTTACTCAGGGACACAGAATCGTTACTGAGGGACACAGAATCGTTACTCAGGGACACAGAATCGTTTACTCAGGGACACAGAATTGTTACTCAGGGACACAGAATTGTTACTCAGGGACACAGAATTGTTACTCAGAGAATGTTACTGAGGGACACAGAATTGTTACTCAGGGACACAGAATCGTTACTCAGGGACACAGAATTGTTACTCAGGGACACAGAATTGTTACTCAGGGACACAGAATTCGTTACTCAGGGACACAGAATGTTACTCAGGGACACAGAATTGTTACTCAGGGACACAGAATCGTTACTCAGGGACACAGAATCGTTGAATTAAAGAGTATGTTACAGACAACACGAGAGGAGTGGCAACAGAGAGGCAGAGGAGGCAATGTTTCAGGAGCGAGCAGACGTGGCAGCAGAGGAAGGGGTCGAGGCAGCACTAGTCGCAGCCAGAGGCCAGTGCTCCCGGTGTCATCCAGCGGTCGTGTCTCCACCGACAACCCTGCCGTCATCGATTGGTTGGCTCGGTCGTCTTCCTCTTCCCAGGTCACCTCTGACACCTACAGCCAACGGTCGGTGGGTACGTCAGACACAACCGTTAGTTGGCATGGCCCCGGGAGCAAGCCCACTGAAATCACGTGTCTCTACCTGCCCCTGTCCTTTGGTGTTCCCTCACCAAGCGAAGTATCGCATGCTGTGGGCTCAGCCCCACTGTACAGTGAGGAAGAGCTAACAGAGGGCGGTCAGGAACGGGGGGAGACATCCGCCTCTTCAGCAGCCAGGCGAAGAAGTACTGGCGAGGAGAGTGGCTCGGTAGCCGGTCTAGAGACAGGTCTGTCTCCTGACCCACACGCAGCCGAGGGGGCTAGTAGTGAGGCGGAGACCCTAATTGATGATGATGAGGCTGATCGCACTTGGCAGCCTCGTCGTCATCAGGCTATTGCTTCCGCATCATCAGGAGAAGAGGGTGCCAGCTTGGCAGCGAGCAAAACAGTCGGTGGGTTGCCCAGGAGGCAGCAGGGTCGCAGCAGTGTCAGTGGAGGCAAACGGCCACGGAGTAGAGCACCAGCTCCACTGCAGCCTACCACCACGGCCAGTAGTGGTGCCGGTGTGCACGGAGGAAGTAGCAGTCAGCCAGTGAGGAGTAGCGGGGGCAAAGTTTCCTACTCGGCGGTGTGGCAATTTTTCGTCAAGCCGCCCGAGGAAGTAAACGTAGCCGTATGTCGACTATGTGGCCAGAAAGTCAAGCGTGGCCAGGGGGCCATGTTGGGACTACAGCGTTGCGTCAGCATATGCAGCGTCGCCATTCGGTGGCCTGGGAAAACCGTGATAAAGATACGGCGGTTCTGCCTGCCCCAGCCCCCGCTCCATCACCCGCTCCGTTACTTGCTCCGTCACCCGACGTCAATCGCCCTCTATCAGCCAGTCAAGGCTCCAACACCTCTGCTGAGGGGAGTTGTCGCTCGTTGGCATCTTCCGCTCGTTCAGATGCTCCTTCTCCTGCTACTCCTCTTCACGGATTCCGTCAGCAGTCTTTCTTGGAATCCGTTTCCAAGAGACAACAGTTTGCGAGCACGCACCCGACGGTGCAGAAGCTGAACGTCCTCCTGTCCAAGTTGCTGGTGCTGCAGTCCCTCCCTTTCCAAGTGGTGGACTCAGCACCTTTCCGAGAAATGATGGCTTGTGCCGCGCCGCGGTGGAGAGTGCCAAGCCGGCATTTCTTCGCCAAAAAGGCAGTGCCAGCCCTGCATTCACATGTAGAAGAGATGGTGGGGCCAGTCTTTGAGCATGTCGGTCTCTGCCAAAGTGCACGGCAGCGCCGACGTGTGGAGCTGTAACTACGGTCAGGGACAGTACATGTCATTTACGGCCCACTGGGTGAACGTGGTGCCGGCACAGCCGCACCAGCAACTTGGACAGGTCACGCCGCTTTTGCCTCCACGTTTGCACGTCCTTGGTCCAGCAAAGATGTCCGCCTCTACCACCTCTTCTTCCGCCGTGTCCTCAGCCGCCACCCCCGTGCCAAGTCCCATTACCCGACCGGCATATCACATGTGCAGGGCGCAACGGTGTCACGCTGTGCTGCACCTGGTATGCCTTGGCGAACGTAGTCACACAGGGAGAGAACTTCTGAGTGTAATGAACAGAGAAATCGACAGATGGCTGTCTCCGCGCAAACTGAAAATCGGAACCATGTTGACCGACAACGGAAAGAACATGGTGTCTGCTCTGCGTCAAGGAAGGTTGTGCCATGCGCCATGCATGGCTCACGTGTTCAATCTGGTTGTCAAGCGGTTCCTAAAATCCACCATCCCACTGCAAGACATCCTTAAAATGTCACGTAAACTTTGCATGCATTTCAGCCATTCCTACACCGCAAAGCACACCCTCCTTGAGCTGCAGCGGCAGAACGGAATTCCACAGCATCGCCTGATCTGCGACGTTGCAACAAGGTGGAATTCAACCCTACATATGTTAGACCGCCTTTACGAACAGCGAAAGGCCATCACCGATTTCCTGATGTTACAAGCGGATAAAGGTACTCCCCTGTGTAACTTAGATGTCAGCCATTGGCAGCTCATGCGTGACACCTGCCGCTTGCTCAGGCCCTTTGAGGAGGCCACGCTATTCGTGAGTCGGCAGGACTATGGGATGAACGACGTCATTCCTCTGTTGCACGTCCTGGAACAAATGCTGTTAACAATGGCTGGTCAGGGTGCGGTAGACGTGGCGCACAGATCTCAACGCCACATGACCCCTGTGGGGGCAGGACAGGAAGAAGAGGAGGAGGAGGTAGAGGAGGACATTGGTGCTCAGGAATTATTGAGTGAAATGGGTGGTTTTTCCACTCAGCGGACAGGAGTGGAGGAGCAGGAGCATCTGGTAGAGGAGGAGGAGGAGACAGAGGACCCAGACGCACCGTGGCAGTATGCTGTGGAGATGGAGGCAGGGAGTCCCTCGCATTCCTTGGCACAAATGGCCCATAGCATGCTCGGTTGCTTGCGTAGCGACAGCCGAATAATAACCATCAGACAGAGGGATGACTTTTGGCTGTCCACCTTGTTGGACCCTCGCTACCGTTCAAAAATGGTGGCCTTTTTCACACCTGCTGAGAGGGAGGCCAAAATAACGTACTATAAAAACCACCTATGTAGTCAGTTGGTCTCTGCCTTTCTGCGCCAACGTCCATCCTCAGACACTGTGGGCCCTGTGCGCTCGCGTTCCGCTGCCATGGCAGCAGGGGAGGGGTGGGGTGGTAGGAGCAGTGGCAGCTCCACCAGCAGCGGCTGCCTCAGTCTGCAGTCGATGATGAGTAGCTTTCTTCACCAGCGCAGTGAGGAAACTACTAACCAGCCGCAGCAGCAGCAGCATCAGGTGGACCTGGAGCAGGACCTCAAACAACAGGCTTGGGCCTACTTGGACAGCACCCTGCCAACCGAGGTAGACAATCCCCTTGACTACTGGGCAACGAAACTTGACCTTTGGCCCCAACTAGCTGAATTTGCCCTTGAAAGGCTGTCATGCCCGGCCAGTAGCGTGGCATCGGAGCGCGTGTTTAGTGCGGCAGGAGGTATTGTAACTCCGCGGAGGACACGACTGTCCACCCAAAGTGTGGAGAGACTCACGTTTGTGAAAATGAATCAGGCGTGGATTAGTCTGGATTTCAAACCACCAGTTCCTGACACAACTGACTAAATCCGCCATGAATCATGCCCCAAACATGTTATTATTTTTAACATAGGCCTCTGTATGGCCTTCAATTTAAGCTGCTTACGCTTCGCCACTCTGCCATGGGCCCCTGTACCGCCTCCTCTTGCTGCTGCCAGGTCCAGAGTGTGTCATGGGTCCCTGTACGGCCTCCCATTGCTGCTGTCTCCATCGCCACACTCTGCCATGTGCCACTTTCAGGTCTCCTCACACTGCTGGTGGGTTCCATTTTGTCATAGGGTGCTGGCAGATTACGGGCCTCCCATTGCTGCTGCCAGGCCCGTAATCTGCCATGGGCCCCCGTACCGCCTCCTCATGCTGCTGCCAGGTCCAGAGTGTCTCATGGGCCCCTGTACGGCCTCCCATTGCTGCTGTCTCCATCGCCACACTCTGCCATGTACCACTTTCAGGTCTCCTCACACTGCTGGTGGGTTCCATTTTGTCATAGGGTGCTGGCAGATTACGGGCCTCCCATTGCTGCTGCCAGGCCCGTAATCTGTCATGGGCCCCTGTACCGCCTCCTCATGCTGCTGCCAGGTCCAATCTGTCATGGGTCCCCTGTACGGCCTCCCATTGTTGCTGCTGTCTCCATCGCCACACTCTGCCATGTGCCACTTTCAGGTCTCCTCACACTGCTGGTGGGTTCCATTTTGTCATAGGGTGCTGGCAGATTACGGGCTTCCCATTGCTGCTGCCAGGCCCGTAATCTGCCATGGGTCCCTGTACCGCCTCCTCATGCTGCTGCCAGGCCCGTAATCTGTCATGGGTCCCTGTACGGCCTCCTATTGCTGCTGTCTCCATCGCCACACTCTGCCATGTGCCACTTTCAGGTCTCCTCACACTGCTGGTGGGTTCCATTTTGTCATAGGGTGCTGGCAGATTACGGGCCTCCCATTGCTGCTGCCAGGCCCGTAATCTGCCATGGGCCCCTGTACCGCGCTCCTCATGCTGCTGCCAGGCCCGTAATCTGTCATGGGTCCCTGTACGGCCTCCCATTGCTGCTGTCTCCATCGCCACACTCTGCCATGTGCCACTTTCAGGTCTCCTCACACTGCTGGTGGGTTTCCATTTTGTCATAGGGTGCTGTATGGCCTCCCATTGCTGCTGCCTCCACCGCCACACTGTGGCTCCACACTCTGGTTTTGGCCCCGTGACTGCCCAAATGAGTGAAGTGTGCGGTGATTCTAAGATCGACGGCACTCATCTGCATGTCATACTGACTGACAGTATTATTTCTCTTCCCCAGCAGACTCCAAGGGCATTTAAATTAAAGGTACAGTGTTCTGCACTAATATAAAGGCTCTCTGAAGCCTAGAAACACCCTTTTTATAAGTTAAATTCGCAGCGAATATATTCGACTCGAATCGAATTTATTCCGCGAATTCGCCGAATCAGCCGAATCGAATTTTTGAATACTTCGCTCATCTCTAATTGTGAGTATAGGGCTGAGTGTGGGGTCCTAGTGCTCTATCCCTTTGAGCATCTGCTCCTGTGTTGCCGAGTTGTGAACTTCCCTATGATTGAAGTCCCAGAGTTGCTGGTCTTTTAAGAGGGGAATTGTCCTGAAGAGTGTATACAAGGCAAAGTGTGTTCTCTGCTTTCTTAGTCCACTCAATTTGGAGTATCCCAAAGCCTACCCTGCACCCCATCCAAGTTTAAGGAGTATTAAATCCTAAAAAGACATTCCCTGCCTGGTCATTGAGTTATGAGACTGTCTGTGTGGCTGTGTGCCTGGCTTCTTGTACATAATGTAGGGAAGAAAACCTAGGGCAAATCAGTGGGGCCTGTCACGGGTCTGCACTATATCAGTAACTTCAGAGTGAATCACTAAGAAACAAGTATGCAGCAAGTGAAGTTAATAGTTTTCATATTGGTTCCAGATGGGTGACTTAACAGGTATTGAAAGAGGACAATCAGCTTTGTATCTAGACAACTAGCAATTATGTAAAAAGTTTAGTAACCATCCATCTATGTATTTCTTTAGGTTTCTCTTACATAAAACAAGTGACTGAGAAAAATACAAACAGGTTTTATTTGTGCATTTTTTTTCTTTAAACAAAAACAGTGAATGTCTTTTTATTATGTAGAAATTTTCTTTTGTTCTTCACATTGTGACCTAATTAGAGGAGCAAGTGCAGTGCAAGTGTAGAGTTTAAAGGGCACCGTGACCGTGAACAGTCAGAAAAATAACTCTCGTATTTTCTTACTATTGAACACTGGTTACTTATTACTTCTCCTTTTTTCCTCCCTGGATATTACAAAACAGAACTGTGCTTTTATTGACCACAGTATGTGAAAATACCAAGGGCTGAATTTATGGTACTGGAGGATATGTTCTTCTAAGGGCAAGATAAAAGGCACCAAGATCATTATACAGTGATGACAAGGGGGCTTTATTAGCAGTGGTGTTAGGTTGTAGTATAAACCCTCTTCAACCCTCGAAGTTTAATTGCAATACCCACTTATTGGCCACCCTATAGCAGTTTTACTGCTACAAGGCGGTTGCTCTGCACAAAATCACATAAATATACATGATTTTGCATTTCCAGGTAGGGATCATGCGTGCTCTGCCCTACCCACGCTGTCATTGGCTTCCAAAGATGTCAATTACCAGGTCCCGGACAGCGATTCATGGCCAGGACTTGGTGATTGGCAGAGAAGATGACAGGGGAGAGAACTATGAGTGTAAACAACACAGATCTCTTGATTCTCAGCAGGGGCATGCTGCCATAGTAAAACACAAAAAAGTACACAGTAACAGTCAGGGGCGGATTGACAACTCATGGGGCCCCCGGGCAATAGTTTTGACAAACTCAAAAAAGCCTATGAAAAAGGTACCAGGGGCATCTCATGGGGCCCCCTACTGACCACGGGCCCTCAGGCAGTGCCCGAGTTTCCAAATGGTCAGTCCACCCCTGGTAAAGGATTCCCCGCTGACAGTTGAATGCAAAAAGAATTGCCGGCAATTAAAACATTAGCACAAAAAACAGCTCCCCCCCCCCCCCCCCATCTATACCAAGCCCTTCGGGTCTGGTATGGATTTTGAGGGGAATCCCCATGTCAAATTTTAAAAAAATCCATACCAGACCCTTATCGAAGCATGCAGCCCAGCAGGTCAGGAAAGGGGAAGGGACGAGCAAGCTGTGCTCCCCCTCCTAAACCATACCAGGCCACATACCCTTAACATGGGGGGTGCTTTGGAGCAGGGCCCCCCCCCCAAAGCACCTTGTCGATGCTGGCTCCTGGCTGTCTGACAGCTGCTCTGGCCTGAAAGTTCTTAAAAATCTAAGGGGTGGGGCAGCCCGGTGACGTCAGCCAGGTGACCCCGCTCCCTTGTAGCATCATCATGCTCTGTGATTGGCCAAAGCATTACAATGTCAGAGCGCAAGGTATTGTGGGGCATGTTGGGCGAACAGCCCGCTGAATGCCCTTACAGTAAATGTGTTCACACTGAACTTACGTTCAACTCGAACATCAACCCCAAAATTTGAGTCAGCTACCATTTTAAAATATTTTTTAAGGTATGCTAATATTTAAAAAATTGCGTGGGAGTCCCCCCAAAAATCCATACCAGACCCTTATCCAAGCATGCAGCCCAGCAGGTCAGGAAAAGGGGAGGGACGAGCGAGCTGTGCTCCTCCTCCTAAACCATACCAGGCCACATACCCTTAACATGGGGGGGTGCTTTGGAGCAGGGCCCCCCCCAAAGCACCTTGTTGATGCTGGCTCCTGGCTGTCTGACAGCTGCGCTGGCCTGACAGTTCTTAAAAATCTAAGGGGTGGGGCCACCCGGTGACGTCAGCCAGGTGACCCCGCTCCTTTGTAGCATCATCATGCTCTGTGATTGGCCAAAGCATTGCAATGTCAGAGCGCAAGGTATTGTGGGGCATGTTGGGCGAACAGCCCGCTGAATGCCCTACAGTAAATGTGTTCGCCGAACTTACGTTCAACTCGAACATCAACCCTCAACATCAATTTGAGTAAGCTACCATTTTAAAATATTTTTTAAGGTATGCTATGTGAATAGGAACAAGTAAAAACACAAAGTAGGCATTCATCCAACTTGGATGCAGGAAGAACTTTAAACAAATGTACTGATCTATGAAAACTAAAGTGAACTAAGGTACGTGGGTGTGTTGTCCATCCCAGCCAATCAGACTTTAGCCTTTTTTGCTTCCAATGTAGACTTGGGAATGTAAATTTAAAGCAGATTGATCCTTTGTTCTTGTTTCCTGAAATTGTGTTACATTAGCATATATCTATCTAGCACCAAGCCAGAAATAATAGATCTGCTAAGTCAAAGATATTGATTGCTTTTTTTTTCTAATCGTCTACAATACTAGCCTGAAGATACTTAACATTCTCTTGCGCTAAATTAAGTCTTTTGATGTCTGTTTGATGAAGCATTTAGGAGCTGTAATGCTTCCTCTTTAGAGCAGCGCGTCTTGGCTGCCGAATCTTCCTTGGAATCTGGAAATAGATTTTAAACAGATTCATAATAACGTATAAAATAGATCGCACTGTGGAGTCCATCTGACAACTGATTGATATTACCTGTTATAATATATTGGACTCAATCTAGAAAGCTCTTTACAAAGGATATTAACTCTGCTTTAATAACTCCCCGAAGGCTCATGCTATTGACAAAATAAACATATGACTCTTTGTGTACTAACTATCCAATTATGCCCGTACTTTATTATAGTTCGAAGATTCAAAGATCTCTAGTGGTGCCCTCTGGGAGATTTATAGAGGTTTATCATGAATTACGTCTGAATGATTGTCGATTTCTTGATTTTTTTTTTGTCCAGGCTATAGTGTTTCATTGAATGATTATGCATTGTGTTACTTCACATAACTTAATATGAGCAACACTGGCTGAAAGAGATATAATTCTCATAAACAGCAGCAGCAGAATGTATTATTCATGGCAGATTAGTTTTTGATCAGCTAAGCATGATTTTCATGTAAACTGACCACATAACATAAGCCCAGGGCAGTGACAAAAAAGCAAACATTTCAACTAGAATCAGAAGACTTAGATTTGTAGTGCCAGACTTTTGTATTGTCTCTGCCAGTTATTATTAAACTCCTAGTGCTGACACATTAAGATATTGTTAGTCTTAGCATAACGTCCAGGAGATCTTTTTACTCCGTAGCGAGACCTGCTAACTGCAATGGCAATGAATGGGAAAGCCTGCCATACTATGTCTAGAAACTGCAAACACTGAAAGCAAAACCCTTGCATACGTAGGTTGTGCTGCCTTTACCTCTCTTATTATCAAGATACATTTTCTGAATTTCACAGGAGAGTTGTTATGATACAAAGGAGGACTGGGATAGGGAATGAGGGACAAGGATGGGGGGCCCAACTAGGCCATTACAAATAGGTT